CTCCTGAGGCGGCAGCCATTGAAACCCAACCTCACGTCCCCAGGCTTCCACGTTTGCGTTGCTCCAGTTCACCCCACGGACTTATTCCAGTTGATTGCTGCTCCCGAGGCCAGGTTGTACGTCTCCAGGAGTTGACGCGCCAGATCCAAGTTCTCTCTTGTTGCTAGCAGGAAAAGGGTAGTGTCATCCGCGAAAGCTCCATCCAGCAACTCTCTGGGCCCTCCCCTCAGATCCATCATCTGAGTCCTGCTGGTCGGTAGAGCAACTCCTCGAACTCCGCCCTCATGAAGGAACGTCCCCAATGCTTCAGCGACCACCAAGAAGAGGTATGGGGCGAGGGGACACCCCTGGCGGACTGATCTTCCCAGCGTGAAGCTGGGGCCAACTTCTCCATTGATCACGACTGTGCTTGTCGATCCCCGGTATAGTAGAGCTATTCACGCGACAAGCGCCGAGGGGAAACCAATCTTCTGCAGGCATTCCTCGAGGAACTCCCAATCGACGCGGTCATAAGCCTTCTCGAAGTCCAGCAGCCACGCTACTATCTGTTGCTCTGTCTCCTTGAACCATCGCTGGGCCAGAAGGTACGTCCATATGTTCTCCGCAATCTGCCTGCCTGGTACAAATCCTGTCTGCTGTTCCCGGATGATGCTGGGCATGACCTCTTGCAGCCGAAGCACCAGGGCTTTTGCGAAGATCTTATAGACCGTGTTCAACATCGTGATCGGTCGCCAATTCCTCAACTCCTGCAGGTCCCCTCGCTTCGGGATGAGTGCAATCTGGCCTGACCAAACCGGAGCCCATTGCCTTTTGCTATTTTTTTATTTTCCACTTAATTTATTAAGGAATAATGGGAATATGCTTCGTAGAGACGCTCTCGGGCCGTTTCCTCGCAAACCGTGCGCGAGCTTCCCGCACGGGGCACACCGCCGCGTTCCCCTCGACGCCCCCAGGCCCCGGTACAGCCGAAAACAATTTCACACAAAGTGTGGCATCCATCGTCCAGTGGATAATAGCGTGTGCCGTTTTCGACAGGGCATTGAGATGGGGCGGCAGCACACGGGCAAGGTGACTACACCGGCATGGTCCCCTTGATGCGGGCTTTCTAACGGTACATAACACGTTGCATTCCCAAAGCCCCACCAGCATCTACCGCCCAATTCCCCTGCACACACATGCCACCCCAGCACACTAGCCATGCAACGAAATCCCAATCCGTCTGCACCGCCACGTCTGAGACTGTGCCCTGCCACTGCGGCGCGAAGCACGGCTCCAGTGCCCTCACGGATCTCGAGGTGCAAGGGAAACCGTGTTCCCGTCCCCACCGGATGGCACGAGCGCAGCGTGAGTCGGAATCGAGATCCGTCTCTGTGGAAGTGGGTGGCTTGACGAGGGCTTTCCAACGGTGTAACTCCCACGACAATCCAATATCCCCTCCACGCTCAGCGCCCCAAAAACAGTGCCCGAAACCCTAGCCCTAGTGGCGAATGATGGGGAAGGATTGCTGTGCGAAGAGGCTTAACTCCCCTCCTAATCACATTGCTAATCGGCACTAATCCCACGGGCCATTTCTCCAATAAGTCTAAGTGGAGATAGATAAATTTCAAGGATGTGGGTTGAGGCCACTTGGCTAGCACACAAACTTAAGAGAACCCCCTAGCCGAGAGGTCCCCGGTTCGAATAACGTGTATGTTTTATTATCCCCATCGTCCCCTTTGCAAAGGTACAAAGATGGATCCCTCACCTAACCCATACAGTGTCAGTGAGGGTGATAGCGCACTCTCGAGAAACTCTCTACGAAACTCACTCACTCGAGTAACTCTGGGTTTTATTTTCCTCATAGGGACCAACACTTGGTACAAAAAATGTTCCCCCCCTGACACCTCATCGGGTCGGTGGGGGGGGTGCTCTATCTAGTGAAGCCTCCTAACTGCGCAAGTGGTAGCTACTCATGCGTGAACTTCTGGAGCGGAGCTGCTGGTGGAACTGACGTGGCTTCCGCCTTCTGGCTGTGGGCCTGGCAGGGCGTGAAGGAGAAGCACCGGAGCCTCGTTCCCCTGAGTGCGCCTCACTTGATCCAGCTGTACATCGCCTCTCCGTGCTGAGGCTGCAAAGCGGGCTGGAAGACGCCACTTCCATCGTATACCTTGGTCCGAGTCCATACCCATCCCTAGCAACCAGAGCCTGAGAAGCGTTGTCACTCTTTTGTCGCAGGGTGAGCCCCATCCGTATAGAGGCTAGCAGCATCCGCCACCAGTTTGCCATAAGCGCGCAAACTCTAGCTGTAACACTCTCGAACCGATGTTTGTTTCGGGCCTCCCAAAGGGTCTGCACTCCTACAGCCCTCATGGCTGCCCACCTGGTGTGTCCGAGCACCTGCCACACTGTCAGGTCTGCCGTGTCGCTGAACTCTTCCCATTGGGCGCGGAAGCCCTTCCCGTGACGGCCCACACACACCAATCGCCTCCAGGCTGAGCCACCTGGAACTCCTCGTGCCTCTGCGAACCACTGTGCAACATCCCCCGCGCGGACTTTGAAGACGTCCGAGGTGTTGAAGGATCCAGCGATCCTCACGACTTGGTGCCAGAAGGCCCGAGCAACTCTGCACTCCCAGAGGAGATGGCCCACTGTCTCTTCCCCTCTACACTCCGAGCATTGTCTGGCTGTCGTCTTTGCGAAGCGAGTTCCCACCGGGAGGCCCCCCTGCGCTGCAAGCCAAGAGGTAGTCTTGACAAAACTCACTCACTCGAGCACGATGATCCGGCGCCGCTCGTGGATCACTCCCCTCGCCTCCCAGGTGACTCCACCGCGTGACTAGAGCCACCTGCTACGCCCCGAGACACTCGAAGCCTGCCTCGAGGCACTCCTCCACTCGGACGCGAAAATGCCAAGCCGGTCCCATCTCTGGTTTCCATGAAGCCACTCTGTCGTGCAGCTCTACCTGTGGGGCGTGATCTTCCTCCAACGCGCAGTTGGAGCGTGCATCCCTCCACCGTGAGGCAAAAGGTGCTATAGAGCACTTCGAAATGTGCCCGGTCCAAGAAGACACGATCTTCGAAGGAACCAAGGCTGTCCGCGCGAACCCCCTCGAAAAGCACCACGGAGAGAAGATCCCGTGGGAAATTCTTGGATGACTCCACGTCAATCCAGCCCAACCTCGTCGCAGCCAAGCGGTCCAACGTGTGGCAGCACATCCCTGCCACTAGTTCCAAAAATCCGCCCGTCATTTCTTCCACGTCCATCCACTGTGGATTCTTCGCTATGCCGAGACGTCGTCCCAGATTATCCTCCACCAGTGACAAAGTTCTCATGACTTGGTCATGTTTCCATGACACAAGTCGCCAAGAACCTTCGACGCATGCAGCCCCACGCTCTCCATACCTTAGCCACCACCTTGCATGGCCAGACCTAAGGCGAGAAATCCCGCTCGAAGCTGCGAGACCAGCAACGGCCGCGTTTCCACCATGTTGCTGCCGTACCAACCACATGTGACGAAGATCCTTGACACTTAGAGTGGCCAGATCGAAGATCCCGCCGCCACCCTAAGTCCTGCCCTAACCGCAGTTAGGACAGAAGCCCTAGCCGCCAGCCAAGAACCCTAACCCTAGCCGCGAGTTAGGGCAGGCGAGATCTCTGAAACCGCGAAGAATTTGGAGCTGCGCTTTTGGGAGGATGTGAATCTCATCCCAACTATCCACCTGTGAATTTTGGTGAAAAAATTCCCAGCCGTTTAGGAGTTATGAGCTCCCAAAAAACTGTGAACCAAGAGAAGCGAAAAGAAGAGGAGGAGAGGAGAGCTGAGTGATCTGCGTGTTGCTGTTGCAGCTGTGGTGTTGCTGACGGCCCTCTCCACTCCTCCAGATCTTCCAAGCCCCGAAAAACCCTAGCTGCCGCCGAAGAACCCTAAAAATCAGTGACGACCTAGGGCCAGCGAGATCTCCAGATCCGTGGCAGATCTCGCTGCGGCCTTCTAGGAGGATGTGGAGCTCCACTCCTAGAAGCCCCCTGTCGAAGGAATCGAATTTTCTCCCAGCCGTTTGGGAGAAATTGAAAAAACCGACCGAGAGCGAGGGAAAAGAGGAGAAAGAGGAGGGAGACGAGCTCCGTGTGTTGCTGCTGCGGTCTGCGATGCTTGTGCCGCGCTGGACGCTCGCTCCCTCCCTCTTTCCCACACTCTCTCTCTAGCGCCTTCGAGCTCTCTCCTCAAAAACTTAGGGCGAGAATGAGGAGGTCCCCGGTTCGAGTAACTGGTATATCCATTTCCCCATCGTCCCCAAGGGACCACCATGTGTGGCAAAAGTACAAAGATAGATCCCTCACTTAACCCATACGGTGTCAGTGAGGGTGAGAGCGGACTCTCGAGAAACTCTCTAGCGAAGCTCACTCACTTAAGCACAATGATCCGGCGTCGCTCGTGGACCACTCGTCTCGCCTCCCAGGACCTGCTATGCCCCGAGACACTCGAAGCTTGTCCCGAGGCACTCCTCCACTCGAACCTGAAGATGCCAAGTGAATCCCGTCGTTGCATCCACAAAGTGTAGTCCGCAGTTGCAACTCTACCTTCGGGGCGTGAACTTCGTCCGACTCGTCTAGCTGGAGCTTGCATCCCTCCACCGTGAAGCAAAGAGGTGCTCGAGAACACTTCGAAATGGGCCCCATCTTCGAAAGAACTTGGGCTGTCCGCACAAACCCCCTCGTGAAGCACCACAAAGAGGAAGTCTCCAAAGAGACCTCGCATGACCTCGCGTCAACCACCACAGAATCCACCCACCATCCTCAACGTCAAATGGCGTGGAAGTGCTACGATGTCGCTGCAGCCACCTACCACCTGTGTGACAGTACATCCCTGCCACCAGTTCCAAAAATCACCCTTTCGCAATTCCCCACCATTGCGAAGCATCATAGTGCATTTCCAACCGAACTCCGGTTTTAGGGTTTAGGGTTTAGGGTTTAGGGAAGAGTGATTTTGTTTTTGATCGCCATACAAATCTAAAAGATTGTTGGAGCGAATATTTATCAGCTTAGAAAAAAGTATTATTGCTAGACTACCTTAGGAATACAACCGATGAGTTAGGAGCCATGGGTGGGACTTGCAGCAGCTCGGCATGTACAAGGGAAGGATGGAGCCTAGCCCATTTACGATCCACATGAATAAAAGGCCGATATTTGCGAACAACCTCCGGGAGGACAAGCTCTGGATCAACCTTTTTCCCCTCAGCGTAGAACATGGAGTAGCGGATGTGCTTCCTTACTGCTCTCCACATCTCGTTGTCCGGAGCTCCGAGGGTATCATAATCCTGTGGAGTGAGAACCAGCACCTCCAAAACTCTGCATGCATACATATGAATGAAAAACCGAAAAGCAGTTATCAAAAGCTTACCCGCCCCAGCTGCCACAAAGACAAGAATGACACTGTAGACGCTGCAGCAACTCCACGCATGAAGGCACTCGCTCCTGCAGATAGATGGAAGTATACACCTCCTGCTGCTCCTTTGCGGCGCCTCGACAACCCAGATCAGCGTCTGATTATCAGAAGCAATAAAATGCTCAAAATCCACACCAAAAAAATAAGAAAGATAAGAAAAACACAGACAACTTAGCTCAGACTCCATGTAGATGGTGTGATCAATGCCCAAGAGCCAGAGCCTTGCATGGACGGTGCAATCCACCATTGCATGGATGTGTGGAAGCATTGACAAGGGGGGCCTCGAGGTGAAAAGAGCTCGGAGCAGCGTACCTCTGCCGTGGGACCTCAACCCTTCCAAGAGCTTCCTGAGCTGCGAACGGAGGAGGGGATAACTACTCTCTTCCGGGCTACGAAACGAATCAACCGGTAGAACCGGCTCCGTGCGAGCCATCTCCGCGTAGGCCTTGACCCAGCCATCCGGATCCTTGGTTTCTTTGCAGAAGCGCTGGTAGTTGTGGCCCTGAACAAGATGAGAGGATCAGGCAAGGCTTGGTTGTCACAAACATCTCACAAAAACAACGTACCAAGTTCTCCAGAGGTAGGCTCAGGAAAAACTTAGAGTGAAGAATCCGATGAGCAAGCTCGAAAAACGTGGGAACGCTGTCACCAGAGAATCCAAGCGGCCAGGTAGGAGCTGGAAAGCCAAATAATCAGTGCAACAAGTGTTTGAAGTAACAAACGAAACAAGAACTTACCTCTAGGGTTCATGCTGCTGCTGCCGCTGCCGCTGCTGCTGCTGCTGCTGCTGCTGCTAGCATCGCTTTCACCTGGGAAAAAGAAACCAACAAAACTGAGCACTAAAGTTGACACCACAAGCTTACGCTTCTTAGTCTTCTTCTTCTTCTTCTTGCTCCTTTTTCTGCGAAATGGGCTTGAAAACAGTTCCGCCTCATCCTCAGCTGGGAAAACAGGATACTTGTCCTCGACTTCGCTGCGCACCACTGAATCAAATAAAATACACACACGTCAACTCAAAAATGACCGTCGTCAGCTCGGCTCACCCTGAACGCCCCTCGCCGTGCAAAAGTCCAACCAGGCGTCCTCAATCCCCTCCGTCATGTTGTCCCTGTCTCCTCCTCCGGTGCTCTGGAACCCGTTGGCGAGCAGATGCTCACCGTATGCAACGAAGCAGTCGAGCTGGAAGACCTGCACTCCGGAGGCCGAGAGGTGGCACGCGCAATCGGACTTGGCCTGGGGCGAGGCGGAGAAGAGCTCGGTGGTGTAGAGGAGGCCAATCACTGCGCCCAGAACCTGCTCCTCCCGGAAGTCGCATGTCTGGTCCATGAACAGCAGCAGGGCGGAAGCATCCTGCAGATCGCCCAGGGTGGATGCATAGGCGCGACTGGGCGGAGGTTGCAGGAGCCTCCTGCTCAGCTCCCACAGATTCTCCCACTGCGTGACCACTGCCGGCATAGCTTCTAGGGCAACTTTGGCGCTACAAAAGCCGTCCCTTCCAGGAGTTATAAAAGTTGAATGATCTGGTGTAATGGCAACAAAAGCTGAGAAGCTCAGCAGCTTAAAGCTCTCAAAATCTGAGTCTTCTTCTTCGTCATCCGTTCTTACTTGGCTTTCAAATCCGTGAGAGCTTCCTTCGTAGCAGCTGACACGACCGCGTCAGAAGCATTTGGAAGATAGTAGTATTTTCCTGAAACCACAGGTTTTTTTCAAAGATGCAGCTCAAGTTTAGCAATTTCTTTGGCAAATCCGGTGGAAATAAACTTCGTTTTGTAAATCTTCCCAGCAATTTCTCTGATCTCCCCCTGTTCTCAGACAGTAAAAAATCAAGATGTAGATAAACTGAAGTTGTACCTTCAATTCCTGTTGCGAAGGTCTGGGAGCATCTGGGGGTCCCCAGTGGATTTCTTGAGCGATCCATCAGCTCGACCATCGGTGATGGCAACGATCATAACTCGTCCGACATCACCGCTTTTCTCAGCATTAAGCCCCACTCGTACAGCCTACAGTGGACGTGGCAAATCCGGTGGAAATAAACTTCGTTTTGTAAACCTTCCCAGCAATTTCTCTGATCTCCTCCTGTTCTCAGACAGTAAAAAATCAAGATGTAGATGAACTCAAGTTGCACCTTCAATTCCTGTTGCGAAGGTCTGGGAGCATCTGGGATTTCTTGAGCGATCCATCAGCTCGACCATCGGTGATGGCAACGATCATAACCCGTCCGACATCACTGCTTTTCTCAGCATTAAGCCCCACTCGTACAGCCTACAGTGGACGTAAGTTGACAACAACACGTACCGTGGTAAGACCATGAGCCAACGGGGAGCCACCACCACAAGGTAATCGTTCCAATCTCTTTCTGGCCATTGCAATGGACCGAGATGGTGGCAGAAGAACTTCAGCCGAATCACCTCTGAAAGGGATGATGGAAACCTGCAGAACCACATCACTAAGATACTCTTTCAGAGAGCTTGAACCGGATGTTCACCTGATCACGGCTCGTGTAGCTATCAGCAAGAAGTTGCATGGCTGCACCTTTTGCATTGTTCATACGACTAAGTGCCATGCTTCCACTCGCATCAACCACAAAAATCACCTGCATAATATTTCCAACATCAAGCAACGACATGTTGAAAGATACACTAGAAAACATACCAAAGCTCCAGCTTTACGAGCCATTCTTTTGGCCCGCAGGTCCGACTGCTCGACGTACACCTTTCTGGATTGACCTTGCTCAATGGCTCGTTGTCTCCGGAGCTTTTGATACGGGGCCGCGGGCTCTGAGTGTAGCATCCACAGCTAGCCGTTTAACTGGACCTGCAACAGTAGCGATGATTGTCAACCTTCAGACGGAGTAGCTTCTCAGATCACCTTCGGAAGCATCGGTTTGATATATCGTCCTCTATCTCCTGAGAACATCACATTCTTCGCTCGTCCAGCTTTCCCCTTCCGCCGCTGGGCTTGCTGTGCAGAGGAGAGCAGCTGAGCGTCTACAAGTCCTCCTTCAGCGTCGAAAATAAACTCCTCTTTCATCCTCGTCATCTTCCTGTGTTGGATAGAAATTGTTTAGTGGAATACAAAGTTTCGATACTGACGTACTTCATCGTCCTTCTCCTGCTCTTCTTGCTGATTCTGAGGTGGTGGAGGTGGTGGCGGTCTCTGGTTATCTTGCTGTTCAGGCGCATCTTGCAGTGTAGAGCGGAGGTAGAATCGCAAGCTCCACCTGAACAACAAACACAACGGTTTCACTCACGTTCAACATGTACATCGCAAGCCTACCGCCTTCTTCAGGTCGTCAACACCAGCTTCATCACGACCATCCATGGCAGCCAATGCTTTAGCGACTCTAACAGCACTAAGCTCAGCACGGTGGCCCTGGAAAGCAAAAAACAAATCTCAGCTAGCTAAACGTAAGAAACATTACCTGGCAGCCACCACGCATAGCTTCCATAACAAGATACTTCGTCTGCTCTCTGCCTATGGTCGCATCTTTCAGCCACTCTCTTGCATAGATTATCTGTCAAGTTACAGAATGACCAAGGTGTTTCGTTCTGACCTTGGCAGACTCACTGTGTCCGAGCAGACTCAGTCGCCTCAGCCACATCTGAGGTGACCAGCCTCGTACTATCTTGAAACTCAGCCGAAACCCGGTCCTCGAACTCGAGCGTCGCATCGGCAAAGAGTGAGACTAGATCCAATAAAAGACTACCTGCTTTATGTGAGGTTTGTTCTTCCTTTAGGATCATAGCTGCTTGCATGGCTCTTCAAAACTGGTCCATGCTCAAATAGGTGCTACAATGACCATAAAAACATATATCTATCTATCTATCTTCACTTTGAAAAGGGATATTGCTAGTAAGAGGGTGGTATGACTCCTTCAATGTCATTCTGTGCTTCCAAGATGAGGTCTGAGTTAACAATGGAATTGGTTACATTGATCTTTGAACACTTGAATGGCCATGGATTATGCTTTAAACCCCACATTACCACCACTTAACCACTTAGCAAAGAGGTAGCAATTCTAGCTTTCAAAACTAGAACAACAACTAGAGGCCACCAGATAAAGACCTTCAAGGGCCAGAGGGATGTTTATCCTTCATGCTCAAGATCACTAGAAGGGTCAAAAGTTGGCGAAATGCATCATAGTGGGACCTGCCTTACAAAATTTGCATTCGATTGCATATAAATTTATATGTCACACTCACATCTCTCTTGCTAGTGTAAACATTTTAACCACCTGATAAATTTAAATAGACCACAGTCACTTTTACTTTACACATCAACTTTGAACTCTTAGAAGTTTGATGTGCATGCATCTTATTTGCAATAACCCAATCACTGCTCACAATGTCCATATTCTTTCTTCTAGTCGAACATTGCCTGTTCTACCTGATGATGATGAATGCCTAGTGAATCCCAACATGGCACACAAAGTCCAAAAAACATAACAAATTAAAAGTTTGATTCATCACAAATACTGACATATAAGAGGATCTTGCCACAAGGCATATTATTATTTTGGCATTTGGATATTCCAGGAGTCTCTATAGTTTCCTTTTGGACCAGTCGTTCAAGTTTGTATAGGCCAAGAAGAAGAGCCAGTTTGCGCTGCCCAGAGCGGCAAGCAACCAAAAGAAGTAATCCAAATGCCCATCATTGAGGTTCCGCGGGATCCATCCTCGCTCGCCAGTGATTCTCGACGTGATGCTCACGAGAAATCCCGAGAGAAAACACCCCACTGACGATGCGAAGAACACCATGCCCACGCCCAGGGTTCTCAGATTCTCGGGAGCTCGCTCATAGATAAACTCCACCAATCCCACGTAGTAGAACACCTTGGAGCCGCCGATGAGCACAAACTGGGGGATTTGCCACAAAACGATGGTCCCTCGCTGGCGATGGAAATTCGCGAGACGCTCTGTTTCCAGCACAGCCGCGCACGCCATGCCCGCGGTCATCGCCACAAGCCCAGCTCCCATCCTCTGGAAGAACGTGAAACCCCGCGAATTCCCAGTCGCTCGACGCATCACTGGGACCAAGACTCGATCATAGACAAGCATCCACACCAGGAAGCTGATTGGATCAAACGAGTTGAGCGAAGCTGGCGGGATACGAAAGCCGCCAACTTTGGTGTCCATGAGCGCGGCCTGCTCGACGAAGAGCGAGAACGTTTGAGCTTTCATGGTCTCGTACACCACCGATCCCAGCCACACCCAGAGAATTCCCGCCAAGCTGGATCTGGAGTCCTTGTGCAAGAGCTTGGCAAAGGGGTTTCCGGTCAAGATGCAATCGTATCTATAGAGCTTGGCAGCTCCGCAAAAGACCGCAATCCCGAGGAGGATGGCACCCCCGCAAACGAAGAGAGCGGTGCTAAATCCCATCCGATCTTCGATATACACCACCCCCAGCACCGCCAGGAGAAGACCCATGGAGGAGCAAAAGTAGTACCAGCTGAAGTAGGAGCTCTTGGACGCGGCCTCGACCGGATCCTCCTCATCGAATTGCCCGGCTCCAAATGCCAGCAGCGACGCTACGAATCCCTTGGACAGAGCAACCACGTAGAGCGCCACGAAGAAGAGCCAAGTTACGGCGAGACTTGGCGAGTCCTGGTGCTCGAGGAACAGGACCGCGAGTGAGAGCAGAGCTAGTCCGCCAAAGAAAACGAAAGAACCGGCCAGAGTTGTCACGAATGTCCCCAGGTAGGAATCGGAGATGTACGCGACGAGCAGCGGGGAGAAATCATGAACGCCCGTCCAGATGCTAACTTGGCTCGACGCGGCCGCGTTGGAAAGGCCGAGCTTGGAGACCATGAACAGGACCAAGTTGTAAGAGACGCCATAGAGCGAGAGAACTGCGAGGCAATTGAAAAGAAGCACTGGGAAAGTGGAGCGAGAACCCCCTGTTCGCAAAGGCAGCGCGCGATTTCCATAGAAATCTAGGCTTACTTGTTTCCCATGCTGCAAAAGGGGCACTGTAGAGTGCTCCTCGTCGTAGTGATTGGTCATATCCCCAAACTTTCTTCTGAAGAGTGGGTACGAGTACGCTGGAAAATCATGTCGATTTCCGACGCATGCAAGGTTTCGAATACGCGACCTCGTCCTTGCCAGCCTTATGCTCTAACCGTCTAAGCCGACACGTCTTAGTTCTTAACGTCTCCTATAAACTCCTTTCGTTTAGCGTTAACCATTTTAAACACTCGAAGCCCCAGATTAGGGTTCTTCCAAGCAGGTATGCCGGGGATTGGCGAAGTGCTCGCCCTTCCGGCGCCCAAGCCCGGCGACATCGATGGCCCCCTCCCGCCCGCGCAGCTCGTCAAGGCGGAGGACACGGAGATGGAGGATGCGGCGGCGGCGGCGGATGTTATCACCGGCGCCAAGCCCGCCACAGTGGCCTCGCAGACCCGCAACATAGGTATGATCCATCCCCCCCCAGACATCAGGAGCATCATCGACAAGACCGCCCACTTCGTCGCCAAGAATGGCGTGGATTTCGAGCGCAAGATCATGACCAACGAGCAGAAGAACGTCAAGTTCAACTTCCTCAACTCCTCCGACCCATACCACGCCTACTACCAGCACCGGATCTCGGAGGAGAAGAGCGGCAACGGCCCCCCTCCGCCGCCGCCGCCCTCTTCCGCCACCGATCCATCCAAGCCACCGCTCTCCGCCACTGCCGCCGCCGCCGCCACCGCCACCGCCACCGCCGCGGCCCAGAAGTTCGATATCTCGCAGTTCATACAGCCGTCCAAGGTGGTGGAGCCGCCGGAGGCCGAGCAGTTCCTCCTCAAGCTCCCCGAGGGGCTGACGGGCCAGGACCTGGACATCATCAAACTCACGGCTCAGTTCGTGGCAAGGAATGGCAAGGCGTTTCTTACCGGGCTGACGAGCCGGGAGCACAACAGCGTCCAGTTCAGCTTCCTCAAGCCGCAGCACAGCCTCTTCACCACCTTCACGGGCCTCACGGACTCCTACTCCAAGGTGCTGCTGCCGCCCAAGGGCCTCCTGGACAAGCTCAAGCGCGACCTGTCGGACAAGATGTCCATCCTGGAGCGCTGCCTCCACCGGCTCGAGTGGGAGAGATCGCAGGAGAAGGCGCGGCAGAAGGCCGAGGACGAGGAGGAGCAGGAGCGGATGATGATGAGCAGCATCGACTGGCACGACTTCGTGGTGGTGGAGACGATCCACTTCGTGGAGGAGGAGGACGACGCGTTGCCGGCGCCGGTGACGCAGGAGGAGGTGATCCGCAGGAGCAAGGCGCTGACGGACGAGGAGGTGGCGGCGGAGACGGGGGCGGGGGCGGTCAAGGAGGTGGAGATGGAGATGGACGAGGAGGAGATGCACCTGGTGGAGGAAAGTCGCAAGGCCGCCGCCCGGCAGCAGGAGGCCGCCAACGCCAAGGAGGTTGTCCAGGTGATTGTCCCGGTGGACGAGGACGAGCCGCCGATGAGGATCGTGAGGAACTGGAAGAGGCCGGAGGAGAGGATGGCGACCGAGAAGGACCCCACCAGGATGGTCATCTCTCCCATAACTTCGGAGGTGATCCCCATCAGCGAGATGGCGGAACACATGCGGATCTCGCTCATCGACCCCAAGTTCAAGGAGCAGAAGGAGCGGATGATGGCCAAGCTGCGGGAGAGCACGCTCGCTACCGACGACGAGATCTCGCGGAACCTCATGGGGCTGGCTCGGCTGAGGCCCGACATCTTCGGCACCACCGAGGAGGAAGTCTCCAATGCCGTCAAGGCCGAGATCGAGAAGAAGAAGGAGGAGCCGAAGCAGGTGATCTGGGACGGCCACAGTGGGAGCATCAGCAGGACAGCCAACCAGGCGCTTGCTCAAAACGCTGAGGAGTGGGACGCAGCTACCGGAGCGGCCAAACCAACGCCACCTTTGAAGCCACTTCCACCACCTGCTGGACTTGCTGTTAACATCCCTCGGGTACAGGCGACTATCCAGGCTCCTCCTGTTCCTCCGAGGCAGCCTCTCTTTCCAACTCCCATGCCTGCGGTCCCTCAGCTTGGAAACAGACCCATGACGCTACCGACGATGGCAATGCCTCACTATCAGTTTGTTCCTGGGATGCCTCCACCACCACTTATGCAAATGCAGCCGCCTCCACCAGCTTATCAAGCGATGCCTCCGCTACCCGACGATGACATGTTGATGCCGCCACCTCCGGAGGAGCCCGAGCCCAAGAGACTGAGGCTGGAAGATTCGCTTCTCATCCCAGAGCACCAGTTTGCCTTCCAGTACCCGGTGCGTTTACTCTCTGCTTCTTCCTTCCTGTCTAACTCTTGTTTTCCTGCCAGGGACCAATTCCTGTCTCGGTGGCTGTACCTACAGTCGAAGGTGAAGGCAGTCTCAAGGGCCAGGTGCTGCAACTGACAATGCCGTCGGTGTCGGAGACGATTGCTAGCCTCAAGGAGAAGATTGCTGCAGAGATCGGTCTACCGGCCAACAAGCAGAAGCTGAGCGGACGCATTGGGTTCTTGCGAGATACGCAGTCTCTTGCCTTCTACAACATTGCACCTGGCGAGAGCCTTACCTTACTCCTCAGGGAACGAGGTGGCAAAAAGAAGAACTGAAAATGCTGCGTAAGTTTTCGTATTTACCTTTTCGATGGATCCGGAACTAACATGAGAAAATGACAGTGTGGCTTCCTACGAGTCAGAGATCGTTGCTAGGTACATCCAATGATCATTACCTACGGTAAGTTTTTTATTATCTGCATACAAGAAAAAGGATTGTTGTGCTCTTCAGATCAAATGGAACCGTCAATGAAATTTACCGCTTCCTGGAGAGATTCAGTATAGAGAGTATTTGATGCGTGTTCTGCATGACGAGTTTCCTAACTCTTACGTTCCAGGGACGAGCTGGATGAAACCTGCAGGCCGGCACTTCAAAACACAGGCATTTCCATTCGAAAACGGACCTTTCAAACCGGCACGATTGTGTCGTATGTGCTGCAGTGCTCGAGTCGCTTCATGACGTATTCGATGAACTCGCAGATGGGCCTGAAGGCTGACATCGTCGTCCGCTCGTGCACCGTTGTCCCAGCTGACAGTACGAAGCATCGATAGCTTTCGTTGGTGGATGGTTGCTGTTCCATGGGCGGCTGCGGTTTCATTGGGGGCAGCTCGTCAACTTCTTCGTCGTGGTCAGAAGAGGGAGATTCCACCATAATCGCTTTCCCTTTCCTGGATCTGTCCTGTTCTTCCTTGTCAACGATGGCTTCGTTGTTCTTGGCAGTATTGTCGTGCCAGACCTCGAAGAGCTGTGTTTTGCCGCCACGACTCACTTCGACGATTTCACCTTCTCCCATAGCAGCAAACCAAGTAGGTGGTGCAGCTTCTTCCTCAGGTCCCGCTGCCGAGCTGCCTCCTCCCTTCTTCACCAAAAGACTCTGTGCGGCTTTTTCTGGTTTGAAGTGGGATATCGGAGGAAACGGACTTTCCAGAGGAGTGTTCAGGTTTTTCGAGCTTGTTGCCCAGTTGATGCACTTGTGTGTGAGGAAGTGCTGTGCGTGAACCGGGAGGCTCTGCGTGTACAAGCATTTTGGATCACAATCACATCCTGGATTAAGGAAATACGCACCTCGATGTGATCTGACGAATGAACGGAATCAGTAAACGCGACACATTGTAATCGCTGCAGCAGGCCTTGTCCTGTAAGATAGCAGCGAATAGATAGCAAATCTTTCTAATGAGCCAGCGGGCTACCTCCGTATTCCAAGAGAAGGCATGTCTGTACGCCACCGTAAGAGTGAGCAACCATGGCAATCTTCTGTATGTTTGACATTTTCGTGCGAATGAAGTCCCATGCATGCCTGACATGCGCATCCGGATGCGCCGGAACCTACGAAACAATCGACCTGGATGCAATACCAAGAGTTGCGAGAAATGTACCTTCCTCTTGCCCTTTGATTTGCGTTTGCTGCGCTCTACCTTCTGGCGATAGGTGTTTGGATTGAGAACGAGCACGGCCATGTTCTGAGTGTGTGCCCAATCTGCATATATATCAATGCTTAAGACCTCGAAACGAAGTTACACAGTTTACCGAGAAAAGGCAAGACGCTTCCAGAGCGAAAGGAATCCTGCAGAAGTAAATAGCATTAGCAGGCTCGACAAAAGTTCTAGGCTAGTTAGCAAGAGGAAAGTACGTTGATACAGAGTCTTCTTGACCATTGTCCCGCACTGTAGACGATTATTAACAGCTTTAGAAAGAGTGAATATAAGAGAATCACTTACGAGACACTTCCAGAGCCACACAGAAGGACGAGCAGCGTTGTAGCTTCATAGGCATTTGGTGACAGGTAAACCGGGGCTCGCACCTGAAAGTAAACATAGATAACATGGAAATCCAGGGATGGAAGCTGACCTCTTTCTTCAGGATCGATTGCGAAGGTAGATTCACCTTTTCCATGTGGTATGGAGCCTATAGAAGGAAAAACATGTTAGTGATAGCAATAAGCATTAGAGCAAACAAACCCCTTGCATCTTCTCGTGGATCACCTCCGCGACTGCGTCTGCGACCTCATCGTAACTTTCCTGAAAAAATAAAGATTCATCGACACTTCTCTCGAACCGGTGCGTTCACCTTCACAAAGCTGTAAGGTTCGCCTGCGTAAGAAGAAAACCGTCAAGAGAAGGCTTGAAATGCAGGCTCAAGACATCAGGAAATGCCCCGGCGCGCATGCAATGCAAGCTCGATGCAAGAAAGAAAGAAGATCCATGGCGGAAGAGTCGAGGTTATCAGTTGCGCACACAGATCACCAAGAAAGAACGATTGCCGGCACGAATCGAAATATCGATCGCGCTCTCAAATCCGGCACAGAAAGATCCACGGCGGAAGAGTCACTAGATTATCAATCGCGCACACAGATCATCAAGAAAGAACGATTGCCGGCACGAAATATCGATCGCGCTCGCAAGAAAGAGAAGCGATCCGAGAAAGCAAACACAATAACATCGATCGCGCGCAGGAATCTCACGGGATGGGAGCGAAGATCACCTGATCGAGCGTCTTCAAGCTTGAGATCCTTGTTGACAACGTAGCCGAGGGATTGGAGCTTCTCGGAGGCGCTCATTTCCTTCCTCGCCCACTTGGGACACCGCATTTCGAATAGCCTAAAATCCCCGCTCGCCACACTTTATACCCTTGTAACCGGGCTCGGGATCGAATCCTGTTGTCAAATAAAAAAGGCATATTCCTAGGTTCTATTTTATTAGCTTTGTTTAGAGTAACCTAACTTTATCGTTTGCAAAGCTTACCTTTTTAGAAAGCGAAGGTGCACTGTTCCATTCCTAGGAGCACTCTTCTGCCCTAAAATGGCGATGGCGATGGCAGTATCGCTGCCCAGGTATTCTCCGCCGCTAGGAATCGCTAGGGACATCCAATCCACGCCCCTTAGTTCTAGCATTAGGCATAGCAGCAGCAGATCAGCAGTGCTATCATCCTTCTTGCCGGGAAGGATTTCTCTGCGGCCCGGGATTCCACACCCTAGATCCAGGAGGAGCTTGACAGTGGTGGAGGCGAGAGGCGGCGGCTCAGTGGACGCAGTGGACAGGCTCGTCGCCGCCGTGAGCTACTTGCTGCCGCTCTTCGATGGGATCCAATACGGGCGCTACCTCTTCATGCAATTCCCCGTGTTGGAGCAGGCATTGGAGCCTCTGTTTCCACTGCTGCGGGCTTACAAGAGCTTCCCCTACGCGAGCTTTGTGGCCTTCTTCGTGCTCTACCTGACAGTGGTGAGGAACCAGAGCTTCAGCCGCTACGTGAGATTCAACGCGATGCAAGCGGTGGTGCTGGACGTTCTCACGATTGTCCCGAATCTGGTGGAGCGGACATTTGGCCCCGCCAGAGGATTGGGCTACAGCCTCCTCGTCTCCTTCTACAACACCGTGTTCTTGTTCTTGGTCGCTTGCTTCGCGTATGGAGTGATTTCGTGCGTGTTGGGAAGAACTCCGAGGCTGCCATTCGTTGCCGATGCTGCGGACGCACAGATTTGAGAGCGTGGCTCTTTACAAAATGTGTCTATACAGCTTTGAGAAATTTCTGGTGAATGTACCACGCAATTACCCTCAAATATCCCTAATCTGCCTAAAAATTGCGGCGATATTATAATAAATTAAAAAAGAATTAAATAAAGGATTATGTGGACGACGAGATGGACACAGCACCAAATTGGGGCTTGCGATTCCGGGATCTATCTGGCATGCCCCTCTCAACTTAATGGCGCTAAAACTACGTTTTAAAAACAAAGGGAAAGGGAAATTTTTAAAATGCCCTGTTGGCAGGTTCAATGTGTGAACTAATAATAAGTGCCCTTTAAATCTTTTCACTCTTATATTGTCAATTATGCCCGTGGATTGATCGAATTAAAATCCAAATCACAGTCAGTGCTACAATATGCTATTGTGGGGATTTGAGAGAAATTATGGTGTTCTGTTTCAGCATGTTAGCGCTTAGGTGGCACCCCTCTGAAGTGACGTGGGATCATGTGTGCCACGTCACTTAGCGCACTTCAAAGGATTCTTGGACAGCCGAAAAGATGATTACCCGAATCGGCTGGAAGAATCACTCCATGGGCTCTAGCTGCTAGGTAGTGGATCGTGCAGGATTTGGGATCACGGTTGCAAGTGCAAGGGGTTTGATATTGAGACAGAGAAAGATCACGTGTGGCAGATCCTGTGGTGTCAGAGCCCTTCACAACCAGGATTATCTGGCTGGAGGAACACTCAGTTTAAATATATGGTAAATCATAATTACAATATAAATGAATACCAAGCTTTTATTCTGAAATTAATTTTATAAAATAAAGTATCATAAATTTAGAAGAGCATTGCCTTCAACCATTTAAATTCTAGTTGTAAAATACATTGATTTAGTACTATACCAAATAGGCCTGCCCCGCCCTGCACCCCACATGCAGGCGGGTGCCTTGGTTTGCAATTTATCAATAATATATAACATTGCTCTCATTACCATGTACACACAAATATAATATATAAAACACCTAATCTCACTATCTTGGGATTTGGCCAAAAACCTAAATGTACTTGTCCCAACTTGTTCATGAAGAAGTTACAGGGCCCTTGATTTTTTATCCATTAATATTTAAGATGTTTTTATCTAGTTGTGTATCTATATAGTTTTGAAGCTTTTTCATTGTTTGAAAGTGTGTCTAGACATCTATCATGTAATATGAATTTAAGGGAGGTGGCAATGTTATTCATTAATTTATTCATATACACATAGTCTTACAGGCATGAGACCAAAAGATTTAAAAATAAAGATCCTCTACCTAGTATTTTGTAAACTTTTACATAGATTATCCATTATCCTAAAATATCTCCCCCTTTGCCATTAGTAAAGTATGCTTTAAAATTTTATGCCTTTTTTCTACTTTTCAATGGCAATTTTCTCCCATTGTTTTGTAAGATTTACCATCTGGGAAATGTTATTTTAGTAGCAAAAAACAAAAATATCGCATTATAAATTTACTTTATTTTTCCTTTGTAAGATCCTTGCAAGTTGAGAGTTCCTAGTGGAGTGCTTACTTAAAATAATTTTGAGCTTAATTATAATTAATTTGCTATTTTTGAATGGTATTGTGATGAACTCTCTATTCACATGGGATGATCATGGAAAAGTGAATTTAGTGACATTGCTCTATGGTTGTAATTTAGATCAAATATGTACTTTGAAACTAGTATCCTCAAAGCACATTGACAGTAGTTAAGTAGCTATCATAGTTAAGTATGTAAAAATAAAACATCTCAAGTAAATAATTTAGCTAGTTCAATCATCAGATTTAAGTCAAAAATATTATGTCTTTACCCAAAATAATAATTGAGTCAGAAAGTTATCAAAAGTTAGTAAAAGTTTGTAATCCAATTGAAGATGGTAATAAAAATAAAAGAGTTTACAAATTAGATACATCCTTGAAAAAGAACATTCTTCCATCTTTTTTGTTTACTTTAGAAAACATATAAAAGAAGAGGAATATATCTAGAATATTCAGGTATATTTTATAGTATATTTCTCAATCTAGTGCTTCTAATTTATTTGTAATCAAGGTTTAATGTTAATATTCTTACTTATTGCTAATATGAACCATGTTAAAATTTCTAGCACTAGCACTGAATGTGGAGTAAGGAAGGGGAGCAAAACTAATGCCACTATAACAAAACTCCTCCCCTTAGGTGAGTGGAAGGGATTAAGATGCTCCACAATCAATAGTTATAGTAATGATATAGGTGATGGAGAAGGCTATTAAAGAAATATATGGTGTTTTATACCAAAAAAAAATTACTTTTGGTTTATTTCTCTCGTTTATTGCTTCTCTAATTTACAAAGCGAACAAGACAACATGATTCGAAAGTGTATAGTGATTTTATCTTATATAGGTTTGGACACTTTCTTTCTTTGAAAGTGTATTTTAAGTGGCAATAACTAGAGTCCATATTGCTTTATTACTCTAGAATTTTAGGTTTTCTTTAAGACAGTTTATGATTCAAATGTAAAGGAAAAAGACTTGCACTTTATTTTTCAATCTATTAAGGGTCTTAGGGTTAAGTGTTCTGGATTTTAAATAATACTTAAGTTACCTTTCAAGAAATCTAAATTTAAGAGGTTACATCATGTTATTTATATAGGTTAAAGAGTTATTTTTGTTTTCATCTTTGGTTGAAAAAGATGTATAAGAGAGTATAGTTGAAAAGCCTTTGCTATTTTTGTTTGAGTTTGGATCTTAATAAACTCTCATACCATTGAATCAAATAATATTATTACTTAATAAAGTCAATGCATTTTGAATGTCAACTAATATATAACCATCACTACCACTTCAAGGTCACAAAGTTTAATGAATCCAACAAAAATGAGTTGTGGTGGTGCTTGATTGCTCCTCTGGAAAGTCATTCAGTATGAAAATAAAAACTAATTACTTTAACAGTTTTTATGTGGAAGAAGTACTAATGAAAAGTTTAATAATAAGATAAGCTTTTTAAAGAATATAACCTGTTGTTCACACTTTTTATTGTCTTCTAAAGGTCTGATTCTACATGTATTTGCTACAACTCTTACTTGAATGAATGCTAAAATTCTTTCAAAACTTATTCTCACCTCACTACCTTGAAAGATTAATTGGTTTATTGGATTAGTGATGCAATCATATTGTAGAAGACTCTATTGACCAATCACTCTAGTCAAATGTATCTTAGGATCTTAGATGTACCAATCACTAAAGTCAAATGTAGATCATTATCTTTCTTTTAAAAATCTTATCACTTTAAAGAAACCTGTAAATCTTTACAAAACTACCTCCATAATCAACCCTCGATAGAGTGCAGAAAATCTATGGGCAGGCGGAGCCAGTGCCAATGCTGCCGCTGCTGGACAGTCTCACCTTTCATGGTGGGAGTCAAGAGCATGTGGCAAAGAGGGATTCTAGTACTAACTTCATACCTCGTGATCTTGTTTGGGGAAATGACAGTACATCACCATGCAGAGGAAAAAGATACACTCATCAGTGCGGTGACCATACCATTGCGACCATTGCCCCCGTTGCCACCACCACGTCCAGGACATCCAAGAGATCGAGATCCTCTTAGCAAGCACATGAGCAAGGGCTCCTTGATGGGAGGAGTTGGCTACAACTTAGGCTCTGGAGATTGGTTTAATCTCTTTTAACAGTTTTTAAATCTCTAGAAGCTTAGGCGTTTTCTCTTGAAGAAACGAGTGTGCTCTACTTTGTTCGCGGCTTGCCAGAATCTGTGAAGCATTGGATTTGGATTGGGCTGACTCTCGGGTGAACAGTAGGATACAAAAACTGTGAGGATCGGTACCAAGGTGCATTGTCCAAGTTTTGCTTTTCTGCCTGCTTCAGTGTGATCATGCAGATGCTGTGGTGTGTTTGCTCACTGGCTCTGTTTCATGGATGTTGAAGGTTGCAGTATTTTGAGAGAATACAGGACAGGGAGAACGGTATGATCTTTGTGGATATTATAATTATCAATGGTCACTGGTATTTTGTATCAATATATGTCTGAGTTGCCATCTGTACTGCGTGCTTGACTAGATTATATCTGTGCGCGCTTTCGGAATGTTCGGAAAGAAGTGTTATAAAAGGTTGACCATGGCGGATATAAGGTAAAAAAGTTTTGTCGACTTCAAGGTCCAGGGCCCAGGCCAAGCACAACCCTCTTATAACGCGCTATTCACAAGAAATACGACACCTTTAAACTTTGAACTGGTCGCATACACGCATCATGTATTGTGTGGAAAGGTACGTAGAGTCAAGTCTCTCTCTCTATAAAGACTTCCATTCTCCTCGAGCTTGATATCTTGGCAGCGATGAAAATGGCGCTATTTGGCAGAGAGGTGGCGGCGACCCAGAGGAGCGCGTTGCTTCTTCTTCTTTCTCTATTCCTGCTACTTTCGATCTGGATCCCGGGCGGCGGTGCCGAGGAATCACCATATGAGATCGCCCACTACGGGTTTGAAGTTCCTGGATCCATGATCCACCGGATCCAGCCAGCGATTGGATCGATTGGACGACGCTGGCTACTGCAGCAATCCAATTCCAGCGACGGCGATGGATCCGGATCCAGCGATGATAACGACGACGACGACGACGACGAGACGATCACGATCTCGCACCAGGCGATCGCTGGGATCGCGGTGGGAGTGTTCTTCGTGATCGCGTTCGTGGTTCTTGGGGTCTATCTGTGCCGGACGCGCAAGTACATCGAGCAGCGGCGAGAGGCGTCGCTGGCGAGGGCGAGAGCGGCGGAGCTAGGCTGGGCGGGGGTGGATCTCGAGGCCGGCGGCAGTGAGGAGGGCAGCAGTGGCGGCCACTCCATGCCTACACCGCAAAGAGCTCTGTTTCCACATCAATCCAGCACGGGAAGATAGATGAAGTAAACGATTCGACTGATTGATTTGTACCTAGAGAGCTAATTAGTAATGTATAGGCACTTGATTTTTTCCTGTGAATCATTCATTGTCCAAGCTTTGATCATCAATCTTGCAATGTGATAAAATTTGGCTCGCGCTTTTTCCTGTCCAAGCTTTCATGGTAAAACTTTTGGCTTTTTTTTTGTGAATCAGCATCTTGTGTTGAAATTCTCCCAATTTTTTTTGAAATTACTAAAGGACAAGGTTCGGCAAGGCGAAAATCCACCTACGTCGTAGAAATTGGAACTGACTTTCCATTAAGGCTGCCGGATCTTTCTCGAAATAGTTGGAAAATTTTACAGTTCCAGTTCCGAAGGAACCGGGGAAAGATCCCGGCAAGATCGGGAAGAAGAATCACATTTTCTTACAATTTAAAACAATATAATGGGAATCGATACTTGGTCCTACCTAGGGTTAGGGTTTGTGGGCACTCTATGTCACAAAATAGTGTAAGAGCTTCTCGACAATCGATCGATCGTCTCATCGCTGGCTTTCAGGATGCGCTGTTCTTCGCGGGATCCATCCCGAGCGCCGTAGCTACCGCGCAGCAGAGCTCCAAAGTATTTCTTGTCTACATTGCCAGTAATCAATCTCTTGCTTTTCCCCCTTTCGATTCTCTCCTAAAATGTGTGACTTAGATGATGGCGAGGAGTCGGCGAGGCTGGAAGAAGCGACCTGGAGAGCGCCGCAGGTAAGAGAATTCACAAGACTTTCAAGGAAGAGCTTCGATTTTCGCAAGCGCAGGTTGTAAGCTTGATTCTGGAAAAGTTTGTTGCTCTTCGTTTGGTGCATGGAAGCGTTGATGCGCTTCACTTCTCGGTTTTATGTATGCTTTGCAATTTTGATCTTCTTGGAAACGATCAAGCTTGTTTCCAATGTCTCAATGCAGATCCTATATCAGCTGTGCCTAGTATTACAGCCATTGGCTACCAAGGTGTAAAGTTATGGGAGCAAAGTAAGGATTCTTTGCTGGTTTTTCTCTTGCTCTCAACTCGTTTTTGCAGACGGATTCATCACTCCAGAGGAACTCTCGAAAAGGTTGCAATATGCCGTGGATACGTTCCAATTCCAGGTAGACTTTTCCTTCAGTTTTGGATAGATAGATTACCTTCGCTTCTTCCTTCTTCTGTATAGGTGCAAACAGCCATGGCTGCTTTGTTGGGCATGCCAACAGCGTCATCACGCCTTGAAACTCCGGAAAGCGCCGCATCCTCAAAACCCGAGGAGCCGACACAAACTTTGTCATCAAGCCTTGAAACTCCGCAGAACGCCGCATCCTCAAAACCGGAGGAGCCGACACAAACTTTGTCATCAAGTCTTGAAAGTCCGCAGAACGCCGCATCCTCAAAACCCGAGGAGCCGACACAAACTTTGCCAGCATCAAAAGAAGCGTCTCTTTGCAAAGTCGAGGAAAAGAACGAGACACTAGCAACCACGTCCGATCCGGGTGACGAGCTCTCGAAACCAGTGCCACGAACCGAGTCCGATCGTGGTGAGGAGCTCTCGGAAGATACGAGCCAGATGCCTGTGTTGACTGCGCAAGCCATGGAAGAGGAAATCCAAACTCCACCCGACCAGAGCGTGGAGCCTGTGGAAGAAGTAAAGGGCTGCGTGCTCGAAGTGCCGGTGGCCAAGAAGAAGACCACCACTCCACCATCGCCACCGCCACCCGAGCCGAGACCTTTGAGAATCCCAGACAAGGTCCACTTGCAAGTGAAGCTCACGGATGGAGCAGTGATCCGCCGCGAGTTTGAGAAGAGCGACACTCTCTGGACAGTGAAATCCTTCGTGGACGAGAACAGGACGGATGGCAACGCGAGCTACGCCTTTGCGGTTCCATTTCCTCGCAAGATCTTCAATGCCGAAGGTAGAGTTGATGGTTTCTTTCTACTCTTAACATCTCGTCTTCCAGATTACGAGAAAGCTCTGGTGGACCTTGATATCGGCTACCGCGCTGTGCTTATCCTGGTACCAAGCAGCGATGCCAAGCTTGTGACAAGCCCCTCGAAGCCTTCCAGTCCAACTGGTGGTATGGGGCGATGGCTCACGTATCTTAATCCTCTTTCTTACGTTCGTGGTGGCAACGCTTCTCCTTCCGAGAGGCCAAAGTCTCCTCCATCTCCGTCGCCATCGCCAGCAGGTTTGTTCTTAGTTCTTGTTCTTGCTCTCATTGTGTATGATTTTCTCTTCCAGCTTCGAAGCCCAGCAGCAATGACGCTGATAACTCGAGAAAAGCGCCGCCACCCGCGAAGAGATCCACTAGCTGGGGAAGTAACGTCCACACTCTGAGGCACGACGAGGACAACGATATGTTCAAGCGAGGCAACACGTACTGGAATGGGAATGCCACGCAGTTCGGTGCTAACGACGACGACGAGCGCAAGTGAGTAAATTATGTATGTACCTCTCTCTTATTGTAGGAGTCGTCGATAAGGAAGAACAAAAACAATAAATTCTTGCCTGGATTCACTGCTTTTCGAGCGAAGTCGAGCCTTCATCGTCGACACGGGCCTTTCCTTTCCTATCCCGGAAGGCCTCGTCGCTATCTCCTAGATGCTGCTCCTCCTCTTGAGACGACGCGTCGCCCATACTCTTTTGCAGCTCCAGTGCTACGTTGAGCTGTTGCCGGAGAAGCTAGACAAGAGATTCCATGAGTTAAAACAAGACCAAAAGAACGAGAACATAGAAAAGCAAAAGAGGTGACTTACCTCGATCGTGCTCTGGAGGTACTTGTGTTGGACGTTACTCTGCTGCTGTTGCTGGGGACTGCTGCTAGTTGCGGCAGACCTTTCTCCAGACTTGGACTGTGAGGGCCAAGAAGGCCCTGGTAGTATTGGCAGAAAGAAGACGCGGTCACCTAAAGTCACCGACGGCTGCCCAGGGGAGTTATGTCGAGCGTGGAGCTGCCCAGGGGAGTTAGAGCTGCCGCCTGTGTCGGCGGTAGCTTTCTTCTCGACTTGTGGCGATGCCGCTTCGTCTTTAAGAGGTTGCTGGTTCTGCGGAACTAGAGGAAGGTACATAGGATACCTGGTTAACCAAGTCAGAAAAAAAGAGTGAGAACGAGAAGAAAAAAAAAGTACCAGCTCATTGTTCCAGAGGCTCCAGTTGCAGGATAAACAAAAGACGAGCCATATTGCGCGGCCGCGGCTGCCGCAGCTTGCATCCTTGCTCTTGCTTGGTCAGCCTCCGGTGATACGTTGCCTTCCGCGGCGTTGGCGGGGGTAGCTTGTCCTGAAAAAGCGAAGGTAAAATAAGCTGGCACTTGAGGAGCTGCTAATGCCACATACCTTCGGGTGCCTGGCCTTGCTGTTGCTGCCTTTGTGATGCAGCCTGCGGTCCTCCCTCTGCTGCTATGACTGGAGATCTGCAAGTCGGACAAGTCTGCTGCCTCTCTAGCCACGAACGCAGGCAGTGGACATGGAAAAGATGGCCGCAAGGGAGTTTCTTTGCTGTGCTCATCTCTTCGCGACAAATAATGCACGTCGCATCGCTACTGCGATAAGAAAAACCGTATCTCAGATAAAAGAAAATGCAAAGAAGAGCACAAATACAGACCGTCCCAGCTCTTCTGCAGTGGCATCCGGAAACCGCTCGTTCATGTTGGATGTCACTTTTCTATACCGTATAAAGTCGGTCACCCTGGCTTTGAAGTTTCTAAAGATCTCGTAGAGTTCACGAACCAGATGCAGGGGCAGACCATAGTTTCTGCAAGCCAAAAACGCAAACATTAGACAAAAAAAAGGATTTGAAAAGCTTGAACGTACATGAAGATAACCAGGAAAAAGAAGAGATAAAGCGAGAGGTGGAGCAGATCACGAACGAGCTCCAAGTAAAAGATATACACGGCCTTATTGTCCCACTGGCCGTCCATCCACATGTCACCCATATACAGCGAGTACTTTAGAAACATAGAGACGACCGAAGTTGCCAAGATCACGTACCTACAAAACCAAAGAACTTTATAGAGCGTCTACAACTCGAGGCGACAAGGAGAACTCACTCGAAAGCGAAAAAGAGCGACACCGATGCCTGCTTCGTTCGGAGGAGATACGACACGGACGAATGCACGAAGATTGAGTCGAGAACCAAGAGGAACGCCATGAAGGACGCGATCCTGGCGTGGGAGAGGCGAGAGACAGTAGGCGTGATCTCGATATACTCCACCCTCTTCTGCGCCAGCCAGTGGAAGGCCTTGACAAACAGGAGCACTGTCACCATGGCGATGAAGGACACGTTAAACTCCTCCCGGAAGATGGTCATGGCGAACAAAACCTCCATGAGCTCCCTCCACAGCTGCTCGTTGAGCCGCTCCACCTCGGCCTCGCGCAGCGACCCCAGGAAGATCATCTTGATCAGCTGCCACACCGCGTAGAGCACCACAAAGGCGAAGTTGAGGAGCAGTAAAACGCTGATCTTGGAGGTGCTGAGGTAAACCATGGCCGGGTAGAATTGCTCCCTGCTGTAGAAGGCATGGTAGACCACAGCCACGGCGCCAATCACACTCGCGGCCGCATACGTTCCAAGCTTCACCATCCCTTCCTGTGGCTCCCCCTCTCGATCGAAGGATTATTCCCTCGCGCTTCCCTAAAACCAGACCTAAATCTGCCCGGCCTCTCGCAGCGACGATCTATCCAGTGACAATCGCAGCGGCGTCCACCTAATCTCACCTTCCTCCTTGAAAATCCCTGGAGCTAGCACACCCGATTCAACAACCAGACTACTCCGCGCTTAAGCATCGAGCCGCGCTGCCGTCGCAAAATCCAGCGCCGCCGAGCTCCAACCCGAGCGATCTAGCGCCATCGCCAGCGACTTCCATCCTGGGCTACTTCTGCAGTAAAAACGCTAAAATTTAGGGTACACTGATCTTACGTGGCCACGTCGCCTGCCAATGGGCGTCTGCCGCGTGGTCCCCGGCAGCGAACGCGCGGTTGCCACGTGGCACGGTGTCTGAGAGATTCAAAAGATTCACGCTGAATATCCCTCCCCGGCGGCTACCACGCTATCTCTTGCCCATCCCACGCGAAGAATTTGCCAGTGTCTTTCATCCCAACGCGGTCTATGATCGCCAGGAGCTTGCTCACGGAGAATTCTTTCGTGAAGAGCTTCTCTTTGGCGACGTTGCGCTGGTATGGCTTGGAGAGATCGGTGTCCACGGTTCCGGGATGGAGCAGCACGCAGGCAACGGGATGTCTCCTCCGAGCTAGCTCGATCGATATGGTTTTCGTCACTGGAGAGAGCTTGTGAGCTCGAATTCTAGAGGAATGGAGCGAGAACTTACACTGATTCAGTGCCGTTTTGGACGCTCGATATGACAGCCAGCCTCCCAGCTTGTTGTCCCCGATCGATCCAACTCGGGCGCTCAAGTTGGCGATCACTGGAACTTCTCGGCTTCCTCCGGATTTGAGTAGCGGTGACATATGCTGGAATAAATCGAAACGGCACAAAGTCACGACGAGAATTCGAAGGAAGAAGATGGAGAACCTTCATGACAAGTGCTGGACCAGCGGCATTGATCTGGAAAGTGAGAAGTAGCGCATCCTTCTCCAGTTTGCTCAGCGATGTCTCTAAAACCAGAAGCTAGAAACTCGGGCATGGAAAAGAGAAAAGAGTACCCGGTGTGACGAGATTTTCGACGTGAAGGATTCCCGCGGTGTTGACAAGTAGCTCCAATGGCCCATGAAACTTTGATACTTGGTTAGCTGCTTCCTAGTTTCACGCAGCCACTTGGAAACGATGAACAAGAAAGAAATCCAGGAAGTTTACTTTGATCGTGTCTTCGTCCGTGACATCCAGGCCTAAAACTTGAAGTCGATCAGGATACTTCTCTTTGAGAGCTGCCAAATTCTCGGCCTTTACAGGATTTCGGCAAGTAGCAACCACGAAATCCTTGGCATTCCTCTCCAGCAACTGCCTCACCTGGACAAAGACGAAGATTATCACACGATCGATAGCGAAAGATTCAAGAACATCGAGAACCAAGACAGGAACACAAAGAAAATGAGAATATCGCACACGAATTCCAGCCCCAACCCCCGGGATGCTCCTTGGATGAGCGAAACGCCAGCTCGGCTACCTGCATTCTCGCACAGCGCTCGAAATCGCGAAATCTGTAGAGGAATCGCGAGAAGCGGCCGCTTGCGCCGAGCCAAGACACCCGCCATTGCTTTCTAGGATTCTAGGTAAGCAAGCCCAAAATTTAGGGCTCCAACGAGCGAGGGCGGCTTGGCACGGCGGCGAGGTGCGTTCATGCAATCCAGGCTCTTTTCTTGCCCGCATTCTCGATCTCGCGCACGATAAACGCGAAATTTCATCAGTGTCGCTCGAAATTTCGCTCGATCGAGAATTACCTCCTGCTCATCGCCTTGCTTGTTTTGCAGGCATGGCTTTCGATCGGGACTACGAGCTGGAGCCGACCCAGCCAGACGCTGCTGCAAAGGTTTCGTGCAAGACTGGTGACAACGCTTGCATCAATTCGATCCTCACGGATGATAGCTTGCGAGCGATCCTTTCCAAGCTCGACACGCAGGGTGAGAGGGATAACTATAGCCTTGTTTGCAAGCGCTGGCTGATGGTCCAAAGCACGGAGAGACGGCGCCTCGCAGCACGAGCCGGGCCACTCATGCTACAAAAAATCGCTGCTCGCTTCACGAACTTGATAGAGCTCGACTTCGCGCAGAGTACCTCTAGATCTTTCTTTCCTGGAGTCATCGACGCGGATCTGGAGACCATAGCCAAGAACTTCGACAACTTGGAGCGCATCAACTTACAAGAATGCAAAGGTTTCTTTGCTGTCCTTTTTTATTTTCTGGAGTGTTGCTCTTACAGTTCTTCGTTGGTTTGTTCTTGGATAGGAATCACTGATGTGGGAGTTGGAGTTTTGGGCAAAGGAATTCCAGGATTGCGGTGCGTGGTCTTGTCCGGCTGCAGGAAAGTCACCGATAGAGCGATCGAGGTGCTCGCAAATTCTTGCTCGAGACTGATAAGCCTTCGAGTTGGCAGATGCAAGCTAGTTTCGGACAGGGCCATGGAAGCTCTGTCAAGGAACTGCAAAGAGCTGGAGGTGCTCGACGTGAGTGGCTGCATTGGTGTCACAGACCGAGGCTTGCGAGCGCTCGCCCGCGGCTGCTGCAAGCTCCAGCTACTTGACCTTGGCAAATGCGTGAAAGTTGGAGACAGTGGAGTGGCGAGCCTCGCAGGGTCCTGTCCGGCTTTGAAAGGCATCAACCTCCTCGACTGCTCGAAGCTCACGGACGAATCCATCGCCTCGCTCGCCCGACAGTGTTGGAGCCTCGAGAGTTTGCTTCTGGGGGGCTGTAGAAATCTCACCGACGCCTCCATCCAGGTGGTGGCGAAGGAACGGGGACAGGTTCTGAAACACTTGCAACTCGACTGGTGCTCCGAGGTGACCGACGAATCGCTCGTAGCGATCTTCTCCGGCTGTGACGTCCTGGAGAGGCTGGACGCTCAGAGCTGCGCCAAGATCACGGATTTGTCGCTGGACGCCCTCCGGAATCCTGGGTTTTTGAGAGAGCTGAGGCTCAATCACTGTCCAAACATCTCCAACGCAGGGATTGTAAAGATTGCAGAGTGTTGCCCAAGGCTGGAACTCTTGGAGCTAGAGCAATGCTTTCAGGTGACACGGGAAGGCATAGAAGCAGGTGGTTTTCCATCAGCCTGCAAGATTGTTCTTACTAAAAAGTGAAAATAAATTAACAAATGGTAACATTAATAAAGTATTTTAAAAGTGATAATTACATTTTTCTCATTATTTATACAATAATATTTTGGAGCTAAAAAAGCTTTTGAATTGATTAGTTCTGATCATTTTATGGAGTATAATAATATTCTATTGTGAGTGCTTGAGATTAAAAACTCTACACTATATTTTATCAAAATTGCAAAAATTTTAAGAAAAAATATATTAAATACTTTTTATATTAGCAAGATAAAAATGAAGATAATTTATAATTATTAGCTTTTTGAACACTTAAGAAATAATTTGCTATGCATTGCATGTAACAATGCTTGGTTTGCTTAATAATAGTGTTATTCTTACTTATTAATCCAATCAATCAAATAAAAATTTATAATTATAAGCATGTTTGTAATTTATAAACACAAGATTAATGTTATTACATACATGGTAGAATAAAAATGAATATACTAGAAGTGTTTAAAAAAGTTTATAAACTATAAAAATGTTTATAAATTATAAATATAAGATTAATCTAAATGAATAACAAGCGTTAAATGGTAGAATATCCTAGAATATCCAAGAATATTCTAGGTATATCCACTACCATCTTAGTCCCCTATAGGTTTGCTTAAGCACCAAAATCTCTTCTAAAGAGCAGCAAATGTTAATTAATGTTTAAGTTAGAGCTATTTATAAAATCTTGAATGGTTTTAATATTTGATATCAAATAGATAATAAATAATTAGGTGGTCTATATATTATCTAGCTTATAAATAATATTACATTATTTTGAAATATGAGCAAGAAACAACAAAATATAATTAAATTTCTAAGTGTATAGAATATGGAAATAGAATAGAAAAATGTGCATATTAATTACCTAAAAAGCCTAACTTATATACAAAAGAAAATTAAAGCCAATCTAACGGATATCAAAATTTCACTACACTAATATTAATATACAATATTATAGCCATACACTTGACCTTATATCATCCTTCTCTTAAAAGGATGGAAAGCAATTAAAGTTCTCTGATTGATAAGCCAAGATTTAGAAGAACATCAAGAGGAGGCACTAATGAATCTGTAAGTGGTGTTAATTGTTTCTAATTCTTTTATACAAAATGTTTCAATTGCTATACATGCACAATTTCTGGAGGATCGGATTGTTAAATATTATGCCAAATCTTATAAACTTATAGTTTAACTTGCCACAACACTTGATATAGTCCCTTCTATTGAGCAAGGAACCCCTAGTAAAATAGATTAACATAAATTCATCTATTTTATATTCCACAAGTGGAAAATAATAGGAGTTATAACATTATTTTTGTCCTACTTGTACGTGGCCTTAGATGTTCAATGAATTTCACTTGGACAAGTGAAAGAATGTTTGTCAAATATTAATCCCAAGACTTAGTATTAATAGCTTATAGCAATAATAAAGGTAAACTCACCTCTATTAGCAATATTAAATCATGACCATATAGGAGTTTATATAGTGAAGCACCAATACAAGTTTGTACTCTTATGATATACGCATGCCGAAGAAATAAAAAATAACCATCCTAATTCAAATGTTAAAAATTCACGTATTTCACAATAATCCCTTTCAATGTTTGAATAAATCATTTCACCAAACCATCTATTTGTGGATGAAACGTATTTATGAAAGTATAGTATATCCCTAACTTAGATGTTAAAACGTGAAATGCCTCAGCCATAAATATGAAACTATTATCTACAAAAATTCATTCTAGATAAGAATACTGGAACACCACTCAATTGAGGAGGAAGTATTCAATAGCAATTGTAAATGCACTAACAAAAAAACCAACATCCACTCAATGAGTCAAACAATTAGAGGCAATAATGATGTACTTATTATCAATAGTCGATTATGAAAAAGGCCCCATCAAATAAAATGCTATCAACTTAAATAGATGGGAAACTACAATTAACTTTAACCATCCTTTTGTAGTATAAAGGGAGTATTACAAATTTAGCACCAAACACAACTATGCATATACCAAATAACATCACATCATATCTCTAACCAATAGAAAAACCTATGTAACTTCTCAGTCATATACTAATTTCCCATATGCCCATATAGAATAATAGAGTTATGATAATGATGAAGAAAATGTGGAATAAAAAATCAAAGATATTACAATCTATAAATGATCATCAAGATTAATCTTAATAAAATAAATAGAGTTGTTCTTAAGGTGATATTAAGAATGTAAATGCTGAAACGGCAAGTCATCAACAAGTGATGCAAGATTTTTAAAGCCCTCATGAAGCCTTCAGATCCACGTGTTAACCTTTTGAGCCTTATGAACCTTATCAAGAGAAGATAGATCTTACTCCATACTTTGTAGACATTAAAAATTAAATACAATAATTGCCGCTAGCATGGAAACTTTATCCAAAAAATTTATAAATGCCAAAACAACAGGTTCATTAGGAATAAAAGAATAAAGGAAAAAAGGGCAAAGAGCTTGAAAGAAGGTGTTAATACCAATTATAGAACTCCTTGGGCAATGAACAACCTTAAATCATATATTTAAAGCTTTAAAGCTCACTGATAAATATGATTAGTTTAGTTCTTTTATTTCAATAACAAAGTAACCGCAACATAATCAACTTCTAATAATGTCCAAAAACCATATAAATATATATAAAACTTTTTGCAATCCCAAATTGCTACTAAATACTCATTCTCTATTGTGGAATAGTTCATATTTGTTAGTTGTACATGCTAAAATTTGAGGAGTTATTAACAGCTCTTTAAGATCCATAAATGCTCACTCACAATCCACAGATAAAATGAAAGATGATGTTGATGACTTCAACAATGCTAGGTATAATTAAAAAGATGATTAGTGAAATGATTAAGATATTACACTTTACATAAGAAGAACTACACATCATTCACATACTTTAGAATAAGGAACTTTAGAAAAGCCACAAGTTTGTCAAGATAAACTTGCAAATTTTTTATGAAAAATATAATAGCCAAAATAAGTTATATTTTTGAACTAAAACATGCGTTTTGATTGCTTCAGCTTGAAATTAGTTTCTTCTAAATAGATCAAGACATCATCAATGAAGTCAACAATCACATCATAAAAACTTCGTCTATCATCTGCTAAAAAGTCATTGCAGCATTGTTCAAACTAAATGGCATCACCAAGAACTTATGCAATTTTGAGAATATTTTAAGAATATAAGTTTTTTTCCTTAACTATTGGCACTTGTTAATACCTAGAAGCAACTAACAACTTCTCCCTAAACAATCCAAGAAAGTAATAGTGTAAGGAAGAAGGTATATATCCAGAATAGTCACATTGTTTAATAGATGATAGTCAATGCAAAAACATATACTCCTATTAGGCTCATATGCTTAACAATTCTGAGACTTTAAAATAAAACCCCTATTTAACATCTTTTTGATGTTCACGAGTAAATTTTTGATCTCCTTCGATGACTAACACTAAATATGAACTTTGATTGGAGGAGCATCTTTAATTGGAATATGATGACGTGTTGCAATTTTAACCCCAAATAACAGGTCAAAGTTGAAGAAATCAATACATATTTTTTTTAGTTGATCCACCACAACAATATAAAAACCATCGGAGGGATCTAAAGAGGAAATAGTGGAGTAAAATGGAAACACTATTAGAAGTAATAGAGAGACAAAAGTGATGGAAGCAAAGGTAAAAATAAATAGATAAAGGGGAATAAAAGTGAGAGGAATGGAAGAAATATAAAGAAGTATGAGATAAAAAGGAAAAACCTCAAAGTCACATTTAACATAATTGCATTGCAACCAATCTATACCAAGGATGAGGTCAAAAGTTTGATTTGATTTGATTTGATTTGAAGTTTGATTTAAAATTCAAATCATTGAATTTCAATTATTGAAAATCAAACTCGAGATCTCCCATATGCATAGCTAGGTTCACTTTATCCTGTGCATATGCATGTGTACAACTATTGCTATAAAGAATGAAAATTAACTCTATCATACAATATAATTGTAAATGGCAACTTATGGGAATAGGCTAAGCATTAGAAGATAACTTGAGCTTGTATTAACTAACACGAAGAGAATAATAAGGAAATCCTCTGCTATATAAACGAGCTTGGAAAGTAAACATGAAATGAACTGGTGCCAAATGAAACCCTGTATGAAAATGAAAATTTGTATGAAAATGAAAGAAGGATAGAGGGGTTACTAACTTATTCATGTAAAACCCTTCCACTACTCACGCGATTCCATATTTCCTAGAAGAATTTTTGTGTTAAGAGCTTCCACTTTAGTAGCACCCATAAGATGTTCTTGACGGCAAAGCCTCTGTAAGCAACCAAAGAGAATGACTGAAAAGATGATTTATAAGTTCAAATATAAAAGGAAAAGGCCTATGAATAAGAGTGCACCCCTTTTCCAATCAGTTAAGGGTTTTAGGATATTTGTGGTTAAGTGTTTTTAGGTTTGAATAATACCGGGTTGGATGACCTCCCGAGAAGTCCAAATTCAAGAGCTTACAGCTTCCAACCAAGATATCAATTCAGAAAACACCAATAATACTGATACATGTGGCCAATCTCATGATATATCTAACAATGGACATCATAACCACGACGATGTCCTTGTCCTCATCCTTGTCCTTATCACAAACAATAGTAACACCAACCTCCATTGGAACAAGACTATCTCTTATAGGAAGTGGAGTTGAAGGATGTGCAATGAAAAGTGAAAAAGGCAATGTCTCCTAATGTTATGTTAGTTGAAGAGCATTGTCAAAGATAGTTAGAACAAATGTATGCACAAGTCCCGCAAGATATTAACAAAATGCTGGCCATAACATTCCCAACTTAATCCACTTTGACATATTTGGCTCCGCACGAAGCAAAAAGCTCCAGAAACAAATGTTAAATTGCATCACTGATTCAGATGGCCCTTAGCGAAGACGATGCAATTGTTGGTAAACATTATCACAATTGTCAGTATATCTAATTGCGCATTCAAAGATGTCCAAGAAAATG